AAGGAGGGAGGGAGGGAGGGTCTATACAGACACAGCCACCCTCCCTCACAGCAGAAAGCTGTGCACGGTGGTGTACTGCACTCCAGGGGCATCTCACACAGGGAAGGAGGAATGGGGACCCCCAACTGGGTGAATGTCAGGAAATGAGGGGATCAGAGGACAAAGCCCCATCCAGGGAACTGGCAAACCACAGGGGTTTGTGACAGGGATGCTTGAGGCAGACCCATTCCCCTGATCCCTGATGCTGTCTCCTCCTTACATGCTGGTACCTACCCAGACCCACTAATGCCTTTCAAGGGACAGCCTGACTCAGGCCCACAAAGGGCAGTTCAGGAGACCTGTGTCCTCTAGACCCCTGCACCCACCAGGAATCCTTCCTGCCTGACCCCTTAGGGAAGTCTCTGGCTCGGGGGAGGACAGATTGCCTGGGGCCCACATAGGGAAGGCTGTCCCCAAGCCAATGCCCACAGGCTTAAAATTCCGGTCATTGCTGGGTCCTTTGGTCAGCAACTACAGCTACAATGGTTGGTAAACTGGTGAGCCCAGCACCTCTCAAGGGGCCTCAGGAGTGCCTGCTGACACCTGCTACCCTGCTGGGGGATTCCAGGGGGTCTCAAAAGTGAGGGAGGGTGATCGGGGAGGACAGAAGAGGGCCTTAGCCCAGACTGGCGGGGGATGGGCTGGTGTGGCTCTGGCTGCATTTCTAGAGTCCAGTCACCCTCTCTAAGCCCATCTGCCCCAGGAGCCACCTTGGCCTGTGGAGAGTTCTGCCTCTCCCAGCCCATGCCCACCTCCCTCTAGAATCTCCAGGCCTACCTCTTGATAGGCTTCTTTTGGGCTGGTTGTGGAGATCACAGGCTCTAGGACAGGACTATAGCTGAGGTGCTGTGGCGCAGAGGCCTGCTGGGCTGGGCTGGGCTGGGCTGGGCTAGCTGACCACGTGGGAACTAGGGGGTATTTTTAGCCTCAGTTTGCATGGGAGGGAGGGTGGAAGGGATGGGCTGGTGGGGTAAGGAGAGAGGTGACAGATCCTCCAAGACTGTCTCTGAAAGATCATACTGGCCGTCACCCTGGAGAGCCTCTAGGTGACCCAAGGACCAGGATGGAAAAGTAGGGAGCTTCCTGGACAAACAAATGCTTGGACTCATTCCAGGCTGATTTGGGGGAGCAGGGAATAGGGCCTGTGGGGCATATGGAAGGTGCTCAGGCCTGACACTGAGTGCCTGCCAGAGCCATTTCATCACTGTACTGCCCAGGTGGTGCCAGGAGTGAGACAAGTCACATCATGAATAAGTGCCCATTGATCAGCCATGTCTCTCAAAGCTTGGCGTCCACAGTGGTGCATGAGGCTTCAGTGGTAAAGGCGGGGCCCAGGCCAATAAGGAGGCTCCCCAGGGCCTGATGCCTAGGTGCATGGATGGGAAAGACGGAGATTCTTCCCCACCATGCCATAGTCTTGACTTTGAAGTGCCCTGGTGTTTCCCTCCATCCTGAGTGCCTCAGGCAGCTAAAAAATGGGGTCATCTAAAAATACAGCAGCCAAGGCTCACAGCCTCCCACGTAGGCTTGGTTTGAACAGTGCACCTCACAGACTAGGCCCAGGAGGCTGATATCGGCTGAGGTCAGGTTGAGTCATGGAGCTGAGGAAGAGTCAGAGTCAAGCTTCCCAGGTAAGAGGCTTCCATGTGCAGGAGGGATGCCCCAGCCCAGCCTAGGATGACTCGGATGGGCCTCACCATTCAGCCCCTCCTTCATTCTCACATACGGGCCTTAGAAATATGACTATTGGGGCTGGAGAGATGGCTCTGTGGTTAAGAGCACTGACTGCTCTTGCAGAGGACCCAGCTTCAATTTCCATCACCCACATGGTAGCTAACAATCATCCATAACTCCAGTTCCAGGGGACCTGACCTCCTCAGGCATTGCACAACACAGGTGCACCTACCTACATGCAGGCAAATACACTCATACACATAAAACAAAAATAATAAACAATTTTTTAAAAAAGAAAGAAATATGACCATCACCAGGCCACTTTGGGAGGCTGCTAGGGATGAGCTGGGTGCTCTCACAGTCAGAGGCACTCAGATGGCCCTGAGTGACAGCCTTCCTGGCACAGTTAGGTAATTTCTTGGGAGACTGGGGACACACGGCACCTACCTGGCCAGCACAGCTGCTGGGAAAGTACGTGAACAGAGCCACAGCCCCGCTCCTAGGAGAAACAAAACTCTGAGTCCCGCAGAGCCTGCTACTCCTCGAATTGTCAGGTACAGGGTCCCTGGCTCCGTGCTGCCCTCCCCACCAGGACCCAGACAGTAAGACTCTCCATCTGGTCTTAGTATTCAGCCTCAAGTGGCATAGGGGACCCTCATGGATTCTCCCATCTATCAAATGCCCAGGTTCAAGGGGAAGAGACTAGATGGGAAAGGAGGTGTTGGCTTTGCTTACTGTTTGTGGGTGAGCACAAAGGGTCAGAGAGTGCCTGCTAGGCTTGGAGAGGAGGAGGAACAGGGTCTGTGACACCAGGCTGCTGTCACAGGGAGCTGGCTGTGCCAGGTAAGCAGCCTCCCAGCAGACCTTTGGGGATTAGAGACCCAGCCTATCATTAGATGACAGGTCTGCCAAGAGACTCAACACCAAGGGCTCAAAATGACAGATCACTTCTGAGAGATGAGGCTTTAAGGCAGGTCAAAGTTTTCTTTTTATGATGATAAAATAATACGTGTTCATTTTGAAAAACAGAAAACTACAAAGCAGAAAGCTCCCCCAGCAGATGGTGATCCCTTCACAGGCTGTGCCTCCCCTCCCGTCTGCTGTGAGTCTGGATATGACGCAGAATCACGAGCATTTCTGAGGAGACTGGTTTGAAAACATGGGTTTAAATTTCATCTCAACAGAGATGCCTCACTCCCAAGGCTGGAGGCGACAGCAGGCCCGGCTCCTATTTGTGGGTGTTTGGGCTGTTTTCCATTTTGGACTGCTACAACAAAAAGAATGTCGGCTGTGTGCTTATTTCCCTGGAATAGATTCTGAGTGTGAGCTCACCAAGTTCAAATGTGTCATCACCTTCTAAAGATGGCGCTACGACCCCTGCTTGGCTGAGGCACGCTTGCTCTTGCTGGTTGGTGTAGGGCTGTTCCCACAGCTGGACTGACCCGCAGGCAGTGACAGGGTCCTGCAAGTCAGACTGGCTCCTACTCAGGTGTTACGGCTCCACTAGTTCACAGTGTCTCTGGGTGCATTTGGGGAATGGGGTGCTAGGAACTCATTCTTTTTAAAAATTTCATTTATTTATGGGGCTGGAGAGATGGCTCAGCAGTTAAGAGCACTGACTGCTCTTTCAGAGGACCCAGGTTCAATTCCCAGCACCCACATGGCAGCTAACAACTGTCCTAACTCCAGTTCCAGGGGATCCAATGCCCTCCTCTGACCTCAGCAGGCATTGCACAATAAGGTGCACTTACATACATGCAAGCAATATACTCATACACATACAAAAATAAAATAAAATAAAATTTTCTCTTATTTATTTATTTATTTATTTATTTATTTATTTATTTATTTTTTTCCTGAATGCACCATGTGCATGCAATACCCATGGAGACTAGAAGAGGGCACCAGCTTAACTGGAACTGGAGTTACTGATGGTAACTTCCCCACTATGATTGACTGTATCCCCTCAAATTTTGAGCCCAAATAAACCCTCCCCCTTTGCTTCTGGTCAGGTCTTTGGTCACAACAGAAAAAGTAACTAACATGCAGGTTGTAAGACCAGCCTTGAGAGGTGGCCTGCCCTGGCAACAGCACAGACCACCCCCACCACCACCACTTGGCAGGCAGAAGCTGGGCTGCCACTTTTTAAAATTTTTAAAAATTTTTATTTAATGTGTATGGGTGTTTTGCCTGCATGTAAGTAAATGCACCTGTGTGTGCAATGTCCACAGAGGCCAGAAGAGGGAGTGAGATCCCTTGAAACTGGAGTCATAGATGGTTACTAGCCACCAGTGGGTGCTGGAAGCCAGGAAGCAGAAAGGGGACAGGAAGTGAGCTGGGCTATGAAACCCCAAGGCCCTCACCCAGTGACCTGTTTCCTCTTCCAGTGTCCATGTCCTATCAAAATAGTTCCAATAACTGAGGACTAAGTGTTCAAACACATGTGAGAAAGTTCACATACAAACTCGGCTTCCTTCGTTCAGACTTTAGGGTCTCTTTTTATAAAGCTCAGCTTTGCATTAAGTCCACACTGCTGTGGGTGTGCTGACATCTTACACACCTCTGGTCACAAGGAAAGGTAGCATTCTTTCACTGCCCTTGGTATGGCCTCTGTTTCTTTGCATCTTTATCCTGTTTATTACAGACTGGGGGAAGGCCCTGACTCACAGGGAAGCCTTCTTCTTCAACCTCCAGGATGCATATGAAGGGGCCGTGGGTCCTCAATGGGGCTTTGCCAGAAGGACAGTTTTATAGGCATCCAGCAAGTGTCCAGCTGCAAGTGTAGGAGTGTCCCTTGTGGGACATCTCCCATGGGTGAACTGGTAGTGGGCCAAGGCCTCCTGGGCTGTTAGGCATTAGAACCACCCAGCAAGCTGTCTGCAGAAGAGGTTGCCTTCCGTTTGGGCACCAAGCCTAGGTTTCAGTCCCCACTGCCCTCCCTGCCTGGCAGCCCACCTAGCTCCAGGTCCCCACCTCACACAGAGTGTCCCTGAGAGCCTGGGCCTAACCTCTCAGCTGGGAAACTGAGGCCCAAAGGCTATGAGGGCTGAGTGTGCCCACTTCTTGCCCAGAGACCCAAAGCTGGGCTATGTGTCTGCTTCCCTCCTTCTCCTCCCTCAGCCTTTCTCTGTTACACTTCAAAAGACCATTGGCTGGCTGGTGGTCATAGGGGCTCAGGAGATGCCAGAGTGCCCAAACTTCGCCTCTCCTCACGATTCCCCAGATCCTCTCAACCTTGCCCCTGCCAGCCTGGGCAGCAGAATGGCAGAATGGCAGTAGACCAGCCTTATCGATGGTTGTCCATCATGTGTAGGGGCTGAGAGCTAGGGCCTCACAGACCCAGAAGTGCGTGGGAGACAACCACCACTACCCTGCCCCTCAGTGCCTACTCTTGGCACTAATGCTGTCATTGAGCATCTGAGTCAACAGCGAGTCTCTGAGCAGAGCCCCACCGTCCAATCACCTCCACCCCATCCACCAGGAGCTAGGATAGGCAGGCCAGTACCAGTTCCACATCCCTGCTCCCATGATAAGGGAGGAGTTGGGGTCCTGTCCTGGTATTGAAGCTGGGGTCTCAGGGCCTGCCCAGTGGCTAGGCTCTCTGGACACAGGTGACTCTCCCAGGGGCTGGGGGCTGATAAGAAGAGTGAGTACCAACCAGGAAGGAGAACTTTATTTAGCAAAGATAGGTCTAGCTTCAGCTCCAGGTGTGGGTCTCTGGCAGAGGATGAAGTCAAGGGTGTGGGAGGTGACACACTGGTGTCCCCAGAACAGGTCCTCCCAGAACAGGTCCCAGCATTGTCCAGGGCTGGAGGCAACTTGGAGCCAGGCCTTGTGATACTTCCTTTGTGGCTCTGCTAGCACCTATGCTCGTCACCCACGTCAACGTTGCATCTCGTGGAAGGTCCCCTCCCGTGGGACCCCCAGTTGTGTGTTCAGGCCCTGCTCCAGACAACAGCCCTTTTATAGCCATCTAAGAACCCAGGGTTAAGGCTCACTGCCTCCCAGTGTTGAAGTGAAGACCCTACAGGAGACCCCTGGAGGTGGCCTGTAGCTTTGTGCTTGCCTTTGCCCCAAGGAGTTGAGCTGGTGGCCACTGTAAGATCTGAACCCACTTCCCACGACACCCCTGCTGTGCCCCACCCTTGCTGTGCGCCCTCTCCAGGCCCAGCAATTCAGCTAATCTTCAGAGGGTGCCAGCCTCTGTGCTCAGAGGACTCCTCAGCTCTTGGTGGGTGTTCTTGGTGTCCCTGCTTTATGGCCTCCTGTGTCCTGGCCACTGTCTCCAGCTCTGGGTCTGGGAGTGGACGGTCAGCTGGAAGATAAGGGCATTACTGGAAGTCTCCCCTGGAGGAACAGGAGTGTTGGGGGAGAGGGGTGGCAGGCATGAGAGCTGTTGTGAAGGACTAGCAGGAAAATCAGGGTCAGACCACCTGCCTGACCTGGTAAACCGGTTAGGGGTCTCTGCTGATGCAAGTCCTCTTGCCAATCACTGGTCTCTCTAAACTCAGCTCTTGATGTGGAACACAAGCAGTGGAAGAGCCTGAAGTCCAGGGCTGAGGCCCAAAGGAAGGGAACAAAGGAGGCTGTAGGTGTGGCTGAGACCACCTACACCAGGAAATGGGGGGTGGGATACCAGATGACTGCTGGGAACAAAGACTGGTAGAGTACCCCAGGCTGTGATGGCCCTAACTGGCCACCTGCCGGCCCTAGGGCTGTGTTCACAAGTGGGAATGATTCTGGTGCCAAGCCGCAGCTCAGAGAAGCGGAGGCAGAAGGGAGCCAGCGGCCACCGTGCCCAGTCCACCTGGCCCAGTGGGAGCAGAACCAGTAAAGAAAAGAGCCCCCAAACCTCCTCCAGAGCACCATTCTGCCCGTTACTCTCCAAAGTTAAACATCTCTGCCTCTTTTTCCTTCCAGAAGGCGAAGCTGCGGTCGATGTAGCCGCAGATGTCCTCGCTGTTGAAGCTGCCCCGCTGGGGGCGGGACCCCAACCTGCGGGCTGGAGGCTGGGGGTCTGGGCCACTGCCGGGGAGGGCGGCGAGGGGCAGCGGCCCTAGCGGGGTCAGGCCTGACTTGCGGCCCGGCTCGCCGTTCCAGGCAGGGCCCTGGCTGCAGCCGAAGAAGCGTGCTTTGATGTCCTCGAAGCCGTCGGTCCAGGCCCGGCGGCCCGCGGCCACCTCGTCGGTCACCGCCTTGTGGAAGGCGCGTACGGCCTCCCAGCCGTGGGCACCCAGGTGCTCGAAGACCTCGAAGCACAGCAGGTGGCGCATCTTGCGCTCCTCGGTCGGCAGGTCGCACTCCAGGAGCTGGAAGTAGCCGAGCATGAAGAGGTCCAGGGAGAGGCTGCCGTAGGGTACGGGCGCCCCGTCCACGTGCGGCAGGAACTGCTCCGGGGACAGCGGCCCGCGCGCCCTGCGGCTCAGCCTTCGCAGCTGCCGGGCCGGCACGTGCGCCAGGACGGCCTTCCAGCTGCCCAGCAGGTGAGCGACGATGCCGCGCTGCTGCCACGGGTGGCCGAGCCGGGGGCCCTCGCCGGGCGGCGGCCCGGGGCTC